AACCTGCCGCTGTCTCACGTCTTATTGAAGCAACACACGGCACAGTTTAAATTCATGCCTTTATTTTGAAGTGGACGGGTTCCTTACTTGGTTCTTTACCCGGAATGCATCGCATCAGTTCTCCAATAATCAGTTTAAAATGACTAATATATTGTATGCTTTCTTACCAAAGCCCTACCCTACCTACATAAGAAAAATTACCAAGAAGCGGCAAAACTTGCAGTCCACTTTTATTTTAAATTAACACCATGAATCAAACGTCTCTTTGTATAAATGACTTGCTCAAACCATGACGAGATGTGGAATGCGTTTAAAACAACTTGTTCTACCACTAGATGCCAGCGTTGTGCAAGAATGGCTCATGTTATTACTGGAAGTACATACAGTACGTATTCTGGTGAGCCAATTTTGCAGATCTATTTAGCTTCCGCTAAAATATTTGACATGTGTGCTTTAGAACATGTGGAACTAAAGAAAATTACTAGCGGTTTAGAATTTGCGGAACTAACTTTTGAATTAGCGCTGCCCACCACTGTTGATCTGTAGTGATTGTGATAAGGTGTGAGTTGAATAATCTTCTCATTTAAAGCACATAAAGATACAGTTAATTACATGACTAGATCATCAAAAATAGCCTAGATCTCTAAGTAAAACAGAAATGTGTAGTGTATTAAAAAAATCACGGTTAAATGGAATAAATTCCCCATCCTAGCTGTCTCGCCCAAAGTGAACAAACGTGCATATCTTACGGACGGATGGACAATCAATTGATTACAGACACATTTATTAATATTTAATGTTTACAGAATTTTTAAACTCTGGAGTCCCTGGGTCCACTGGCACATTCTAGTCACATGACCTTTATAAATCGCTCTAACCGGACAGAAACTCGCTCTTTGAGACTGTTTTTGTTTTTACCAAAGTTAGGATAACTTATGGTCGATGCTTGTATACACGCCATAGGACGCTTGTGTGCTGTTGTTTTTCGAAAATGATGTCCATCATTTTCGTCTTTGATCTTCTGTTTATGTAGCATACAGAGTAACAGCAACACTAAAGCTGAGGTAAATTTGGTCAAAAACAGACCTGCAGATGCCTGTAAAGCCAAATTGGATGCAGTTTCCCGCAGCGATACTTCACAGCTACATACATCTGCCGCCACCGCCGCCATCTTAACTGCCTGTTTATTATTTTATTTACCGTTTTTTTTTTACCAGGCAAGTTCCACTGAGATCTCAGGTCTCTTTTTCAAGGGCGGCCTGGGCCTGAAGGCAACCTATTGTACATGTTTTGGGGGGGTGGGGGAAACTGGAGTACCTGGAGAAAACCCACGCAAGCACGAGGAGAACATGCAAACTCCGCACAGAAAGACCCCAGGTCCGAACTGGGGATCGAACCCAGGACGTTCTTGCTGTGGGGCGTCTGTGCTAACCACTGAGCCGTCGTGCTGCAATATCATGCTTGTAATATTTATTGTGTTTGTATTTTATAGTTAGGGTGCAGTTCAGTTTCAAAATATATAGTTTTAAAAATATTAGTGTTTATATTTGCATTCTAAGTTGTAAATGCAATTAATTGTGAATATTTGTGGTTTTCACAATTAAAATCAACATTATTTTCTACTCAGATTTGAAGATTTTAGGTCTGTGCTGTGCGCTACATAATGA